GAAACAACCAAGATGCCCATCACCTGAGGAATGGTTGAAAAAGATGTGGTATTTTTACACAATGGAGTATTATTCAGCTACTAAGAATGATAAACTCAAAGCCTTTATATTGAAGTGGATGCCACTTGAACATATAAGTGAAATAAACCAGACACACATGTGTAAATATCGTATAGTCTGCCTTGTATAAGAACTCAAAAGAAGAAATACAAATAGAAAGGTATAATACAAGTGAAAGGAAAGCAGGATCTCAGGGACTAACTAACCAAGAGAGGGAAAGGAGAAGAGCTAGGAAACATGAATAAATCAAGCCATACACTTATGTGTAGAAGATGGGCAAGGCAATGATCCTGAGAATTTTCAGAAGATTTTTTAATCTAGCAATAAATTGGAAAGATTCTCACCCTAACTATATATACTGATACCTGTGAACTAAGCAACTGCACTGCAGATGGTAATCTGTAATAGTAGTTTCATGTTTGGAGTGCCTGTCATTCTGGTCTTCTGAATATGGGCTGCTTGTCATGACATGACAGTTGCTATGATGTCTCTCAGGTAGATGGTTGTTCAACAGGAAGCGGGTGGTGAATGAAAGCAAGAGACAGGAAAAGGAATATTGTGGGACTGTCCTGCTTCAAGGTTGTATATGGTTAGTTTTTTGGACTTATGTTTAAACATAAGAAGTATATAATTCTTTATGCCTATTTTTAAAATATATTCTAATTTTTAAATTCTTTATCATATTCTATAGGGACTTAAAGCTCAATATATCAATACTTGATGAAAAATACCTGTTCCATGTTATGCCCAAGATGTTTGATATTAAGACAGATAGTGAGGTTAAGCTTAACAACCTAAGTTGTATGGTAATAACAATATGCTTGTCTTCTGGATGGTTAACAACCTAAGTTTGCAAACCAAATTAGAGAAAAAGGAGGGCTGCAAGGAAAGCCAACTTTTTGGCCCTAGCCTTCCAAGATCAATTAAGACTCAGGACATAAGAGAACTTGTACTGTTACGTCATGTAACTCGGTAGTTTCCCAAATTTTCTGATCAAGGAGATTATGGGGCCAAAGAGGAAAGTGATCAATGATGGAGAGTGTGCCTAAAGAGAGTCACATGGAAAGAAAACATTCTCTCAGGCTTTCACAGAGAGCACATTGGCCAAGCAATGGCCGTGACTCATCCACATGGCTGACACTGACAAAGTTTCTACAATTTGAGGTACAGGATCTCAGGATAAATCCTGAGGGGATTTCACTGACCTTATCAGACCCAAAAGCTACAACTCTTGTTGCATGACCCTGCTTTACCTTGGTTTTAACCATCCAGCAGAAAAGTATAAAAACGAAATATGAGAATTAAAGCCATGCTGTTATGTTGAGCTATAGAGGACTCAGGTCAACAATTTCTGACATTGCCAGTCAAGTGGAAGACCCAATGGTATTATGGGCTACTGGACTCTTTTAGAATATTTTGCTGAGTTTACATATCTATAATATTCAAATAACAGAACTTAACAAAAAAAGGGAATACAGATGCATGTGCATTTTGTATCTGTGTATTCAAAGTGGTTAGGGTAGATATATAGTTACATTCTCTTAATAAATAGAGGGATTTGTTCTAATGGTGTTTGTAAATAGGATATCATGTCCACACCTTGTACAGCAATTAACCACTAGGAAGAATGTATGCAGTGTGTTAATTATTGAAACTGTCCTACCAATTTAATTTGAAACAGTCTCATTGCTATTTGTTTCTCAATAAAATTATGAAAAAAAAAAGAAAAAGAAAATCTATAATCTACATCTGACATCAGGGTACTTGAGATCAGTGGGCACTCCAAGGCGCAAGAGTGACCTATCCTGTCCTGTAAGGTGTGACTTGGGTTTCTTCATAATTAAAATAACATATTAAAGCACCTGCTTAGACAGGTGCAGAGACCCAGGTTCCATCCCTGGTGTGCTATGCTAGCCCCGCCCCCAGGTCTCACTCAGACCACAACTGAGACTGGGCGTGGTGGTGCACTCTTGTAATCCTAGGGCTTGGGAGGCTGAAAAGAGAAGGATCACTACGAGCCTGATCTGTATAGTGAGTCCCTGCAGACCCTGCACTAAATACATGGGGGAGGGGGGAAGGAAATAACAGCCTCTTACCAATGTTTTGCACTATAATTTCCAGTGGACCTACTAAGTTGGTTTTTATTGAATGTTCTCTCTCTCTCTCTCTCTCTCTCTCTCTCTCTCTCTCTCTCTCTCTCTGACAGAGAAAGAGAGACAGTGACAGATATAGATTGAGTCAGCCAGCCTATGGGCTCTGTCCTGAACCTGCCAGGAGTGAATCCTGGCTCGTCATTTAAGTGCCCTCAAGCAAGCTGATTTATTTCTATGACTCAGTGTCCTCAAAATGGTGACAAGACCAATGATGTCTACTTCCTAGAGGAAGAATTTGCATAAAAACTACATTTGTGACATGTTCTGCATACACTGTTAAAAAAATCTAATATCAACTGGTTTAGTTCTCCCTAGAGCCCTTGTAGCTGGGTTCCTTTGTCCCTACTTTAAGAATGTCAGTATTGACATGCATAGCAGAGGGACACCTTGCCCTGAGTCAGCGAGCTACTGTGCAGACAGTATCTGGCTTACATCCCATCATTTCGTTCCAAGTCCCCTGCTGTGTGCTGGATGTAGATGCACGTGGCTATAAGAAGGGAGGTGACAGCAGAGAACACAGAAGAGCCCTCAGCTCTCAACAATCCAGGCTCCTTGCTAGGTCTGCAACTGTGGCTCTCTGGCTTCATTCCCTCCTTAGGAGAGACCCAGTGAATGTCCTCCCTAGCCCACTATACTCCCAGGAACCCTTATCCAGTTCTTCTAAAGGGAAGTGACCACTGACTAATGCTGAGACTGCAGACTGTCCATGATTGCCATAACACCTATAGAAGGCAGTGGGGACAGGACACTGGATGGAGGGGAGAGGTGAATCAGCGTGAGCATTCTGGTCGAGACTGACACAAGCAAAACTAATAACATATTTAGTGTACAGGTAATTGCTGTGCTAAGCAGTTTATAGAAATTATCTTAATTAGTCCTACCCATGACTCTAAGAAACAACTGTTTTGGGCAACTAAAGTCCAGAGAGAGGAAGGGACTAGCATAAGGTCACCAGCAAGGGAGTGGCAGGGCTGATATACAAGCCTGCCTGTCTACACCCAGCTCTGAGCCTCCCTGTCACACTCCGCAGTGACTCAGGAGATAGGCTGTGGAGACACTGGTTAATGCCTTCTTACACTGAACCTGGGCTCCTATAGCCTCCACCATGGAGCACCTAGGACTGTGCCGCTCTTCCAGGCTTGAATAGAAGGTGTTTCTGGTCTCTGGTTGCAGGATCGGGGACGAAGGCACTCCAGGACTTTCAGGGAAGCTACATGAGGTCTTCATTCTATCCATGCTAACTCATTCGGTGCTTCCCCCTCACTTCCACTGCTGTGGGATCTGAAGGAACCAGGGCTACTGCTCCCGCCACCTCTTCTCAGGATGCTCATTCCGTCTGTACCTGCATGGAGCACTAGGACTTCCTCAGGGCCAGCACTGCAGATTCCCTGGTCAGGTTTCTCTTGATGTCAGCCCATCAGTGGTCATTTTCAGGAAGTGGACACAATTCCAACGTCACGTAAATCAAGCACCAGGACATTGTTCCTATACTCCTTGTCCCTATCCCATTCCCATAGTCCCTGCTTCTTGGAACTCCACCCAAATTGAGTACAGGAGGTGACATGGGATGCATAGCCTGGGTCCCCCAGGGTCAGAACTTACGCTCACAGGCAGGTTGGTGGCCCACCACACGGGTCCCAGGCACCTCCTCTCCACTGTCCAGGACACACCAGCAGCTGCCCTGGGCTGGGTCACATTGCACCAGGGAAAAGGCCCCATCCTGGGACCTGCAGGCTGGCATGTGTCCCGTGCCGACTCTCCTGGACAGGACTCCATTCGTGAGAACATCGCAGAGGCCTGGGCCTGGACGCACAGAAACAAGCAGGTGGGCCTGGAGCATGGCTCCCACCTCCTATGTGGGCACAGCAGCACGGCCCTCCCACCACCCACTACCACCCTAGGTCTGCCTGCACTGCCAGGACTCCCAAGGGTCTGTCCTCTCTCCACAGCCATTGCCTTCCCTCAGGGTGCTTAGAATCTTGCATGAGATTTAAGTAAGTGAGCAGCAGTAGGTCAGTAAGATGGAGATGTCACTTGCACAATCAGAAGTCACCAGAAAGACAGAGCTCAGCCTCACGAGAGGAAAAGCTCCTGGCAGAAGAAAGCTGCATGCAGGTAGAGGAGGGAAGGTACAGGCACACTGCATGCAGCAGAGCCAGGAGGACAAAGCCCTAGGTGGATAGAGTATCTACTTCCTCCATAAGACTGACTAAAACATTGTAGGAGATCCTGCAGCATGAGTAATGGAGAAGCAAGAGAATGCAAAGAACAGGGGCATGAACCAGTGCGTGGGGCTCCTGGGCCATGCCAAGCAGCCCAAGCCTGGGACAACAGTGGGACATCAGCAGCCCTTCAGAGGAGCCTATTGCACCTGCCCTTTAGGGACAGGTCCCGGGCTTCAATGTGGAGCCCAGACTACAGGGCTCAGATGGAGGTTCAGGGCCAGACGAAGCACCATGCAGCAGAGTCCTGCAGCTGTCAGCCTTCAACAGCACTGTGCCACCCAGGACAGGGACTAGGTACTCCACTCTGTCACAGAGAACAGCCTTCTCCAGAGGCAGGGAATATGGGAGAAGTTCACTGTACTGTGCAGAAGAGACACTGAGGCAGAGTGGGGTCAGGTAGCAGCAGGGTGGGGACAAGAAGCCAGCCGTGGGGACTTCACACCCAGCGTTCAGCAGGGAGGCAAGCAGGATGAGGGAAGTACTTACATGGGGCACTTCCATTTGCACTGCGCTGGGTCCCCTCTCCTGATGCAGGGTCCACACACCAGGCACCAGTCCCAGATACCTGCCTCCTGGCAAACTCTCCTGTCTAAGAGAAGCCAAGGCTGTCAACATGAGGGTTTTGTAGCCCAATTCTTGGCCCAGTGAACGCTGTGAGAGCTTCCTGCATAGGACAGTGTTCTCACAAGGAGACACCACTGTGTGTGCAACCCTCCACGTATTTAATTTGAATCAGTGGTTATACAAGCTCCACCGGCAAAGACAACTATCATCCCATTTGAGTGTAGGGGAACCAGGGCTCCCTCAGAGAGGTGACTGTGGGGTGACAGCCCAGAGCTGGTGAGTGGTAGATCCGGGCTGGGCCCGAACTCAGGCAGCTCCAACCACCGCCACTCCCCTGCGCTAACTTCACCGATGCCAGAAGTATATTCTAATGAGGAGCTTTCTTCCTTAACATCCTACCTGGAATAAGGTACAATACATGGCAGCTACCCAAGCCTCAGCACAGGCTATGGAGCCAGGAAACAGGACCTGCCCCTCGGGGAACCCCTAGCATGCCTCTTCAGCTCCTGGGTCTCAGTGTCCCTAGTAGGCATCCCAGGAACTGCAGCTGAGCACATTCCTCCAGTCCTCCCACAGACTATTTTGATGGCAGGGAGGTCCTTCCTCCCGTGTCTGCAAATGAAAGTCAGAGGCACAGCAAGAAAGCTGGGGAAAAGCTGCTCTAGCACACGTCGGGGCTGCTGTGTTTGCCTGAGCACTTGGCTGCCGCTGGTCCACTCCTTAGCCTCCTGTGCTGTCTCCATGCTACTTACAGCACCAGGGCTGGGCAGCAGCTGGAGCGTGACAACCACCCAGGGGCTAGAATTCCCACCCCTTCCTGCGGGGGCTGAGACGCCCGCCTGGCCTTCTTCCTCAGAGAGCAGCAGTGCTCAGGGTGTGCAGCAGACTTGTACTGTCACCACCAGCAGGTGGTTGTCATAGGACAAAGGTCCCAATCACATGAAAAATTTCTCTACAAAACTCATTTGTAATTGGGATTTATGCTCCAAGTACCCACTGATAATAACAATGAGACACACACAGCACTTTACAGCTTCATAAAATTCTGTATTTCTGGTTGTCATGAATCCCTGGAAGATGTGGCATTCCTAGCATTCCTATTTTAGGGAAAGGGACTTCTGTCTTGGCAAGTAATGTCTAAAGGTGTAGGATAACTCTTCCTCTGTGATAGTCCATGTCTGTGCTTCACTGAATTCTGAATTTCTGCAATCATCCAGGGAGGTGGGAGGGACTTGGGATGATATCATCCATTCAGACTGGGGACCCAAGATGGGAGCAGCAGTGATTTGGCTAGAGATACTTGGAAACACATGGGAGCAACTGCATGCGTACCAATAAATCTTCAAGGAATATTCATGAAAGCCACTTCAAGGAGGCCTCAAAACTATTCTATACTAGATTGGACCAAAATGGAATCCAGTCCTGTGTTTTAAAAAAAAAATCCTATGGCATAGAGAAGGTAAGTAAGTTGCTAAAGGGCACACAGCCAAGCTCTACCAGGCTTGGGATAAGCTTCCCCTCCCTGGACTCTTTCAGGGACCTGTACTAAGCTAAATGAATTCACTACTGGAAAGGTCATGTCAACCAGCTAGGATAGCTCTGGCATCCCTCCTCACACCTCCTGGGGCCCCCAGAGTCCCACCTCAGTGCAAGTTGGGGTGAACAGGTCTTCTGGGGATGGATCTCCTTGGGAACCAGCTTGCTTCCAACCAGAAAGCAGCGCATTGGCTCGAGATTGCTCACAAGGTGAGGGGCCTGTGGATAGAGGGGCACTTTTCACAGACTTTTCCTTAAGAGGAAACCAGGAAAAGTGGACACACTGGTTAACCCCAAGGCTAAGAGTCACGCATCTAGGGTTGGAGGTGCACCCAGGAACATGGAAGCATGTGGAATGTGCCAGTTTTGAAACATGGACAAGGCCAGGGCCCACCTTGTGGTGGAGGCAAGGGCTGAAGGTCAGGATGTGAGGTGATGACAAGCCACAGGTCAGCAGCAGGTGCACTGGATGAGGGCCAGGCTCCGCTGCCACTCCCTGCTCTTTTCCTTCCTGCTCTACTCACGCAGGAGCTCTAGTCAGGAAGGCCAAGGTCAGTGCCAGCCCCTGGGCCCTGGCACTTGGGAAATGTGTCTGGCTGGGGTCAGGATGGGCCATTGTGGAGCTTCCCCAAGGCTGGTGGCCCAGCTGGTGGAAGCAGCCTGGGCCTCATGCTGAGGTCACAGGGGCAAGTTCCCAGGCTTTCCTATACTTACATTGCAAGAGCTGTGGGGAGCGGGCAGTCAGCGAGTTAGGGACAAAGTTGCCCATCACATCCACACACCAACAGTATCCTAGAAAAGAACACACACTTGAAGTTTCAGAAATGAGCAGGAGATTGTCTTTAGAAGGCTACCTTCTTTGTATGTATGGTGCTGCCAGCAGCTTGACCTGCTGTCCCCCTCCCCAGCCCAGCTGAAGGAAGGTCACTGTTCTCATTTTAGGGAGACAACTACAGGCTAGAGAAACTCAGGATTTGTCCCATCTACCCAAGTGGGGCCAAGAATCTAGGTTACCTGCCTCTCACAATGGGGCTCTTGTATCCACATAAAAAGAGGTTTGCTTAGCTTCTGACATTCCACTTACCAGTGCCCGTGTGGCACTGCCTGGGCTCCCAGCTTCCGAACGCATCACACTGTGGCACATAGGGGCCCGACCCCAGAGCAGAGGCTGCTCCAATCCAGTCATTCAGGGAAGCATGGCGTCTCTGATAGAAATTCAAGGCTGAAATCAAAGGAAGAGAGGAGCACAATGTGATGCTTGCCCCATCCAACAACTATTTCACCTTGAAATGTTACAGAAACCTCTTGGATAGTGTGTGTCATGGTTTTCCTATAAGAATAAACACAGGCTGCAGAACAGAAGGCCCTTGGTAGCTACATACAGTAACTTTAGAAGTGGTCTCCATGACTCTAGAGATGTGGTTATAGATGTAAAGATGCTACCAAACCACAGTTAGAGCCCTGTCTGAGGACAGTGGACTGTCTTTTAAAAAGTCTGACACAGCTACAGAGATAGTTCAGTGGTCTAAGCGCCTGCCTGGCAAGCACAAGGAACAGAGCTTGATCCCTGCTATGGCATGCCGTGCCAGCCTTGCACCATGCTGGCCACTGAAACTGGGCATGGTGGTGCATGCCTGTAATGCCAGCGCTGGGGAGGCTGAGACAGGAGAATCACTATGAGTCCGTGCTTTGTAGTGAGACCCTGTACCAAATAAATAAAAGATCTTTAAAAATTAAGTTTTGTCAAATGTCTGGTATAGTGGATAGGGTTCTAGAATCTGATTTGTGTCTGCCTAAACTCTGGCACTTCCCCACTTAGCCATGTGACCATGAGCAAGGGGACAACCTCTCTGCACTATAGGTCTAGTACAGCACTGGGTAGGCGCAATGCTCAGATCTAGGAGCAGCTACATACATTATTCCTTCACCCATCCTCCTTCAATTAGCCCTAGAGAAGGTTCCCAGGCTGCATGCAGCCCTGCACAGCTGGTAATGCAGTCCCCTAACTGTGAGTTCTTAATATTGTTACCTGATTTTAGTGATGTTGTTCATGACTTGACTACGCAGTGCTTGAGTGTGGACAGTGTAGGTAACAAAGGAGCACCCTATGAGGGAGGCCACAGACTCCATCACCTGTACCTGCCACAGAGCCAGCTGTACCAAAGCCTGCATCTACTAGATGTTGTCACACGCACTTATAGAGTAGTGACAGTTGAAGGGTCTTTCACACCACTCTTCTTCAATCACATTAAATCCTGTCCATGCTCACAATTTAGAATAACTTGTTTCTTGTCTAAAGCAGAAGTCACCATGTCTCTGAGGAACAGAAAGAAAAGGTACCTGGGCACAGAGGGAGAGGGGTAGATGGAAGGGAAGAAAAGAGAAGAAAGGGGGTTAGTGGGCTGGATCACCACCATTCTTAAGCTCTACTCAGCTCCAGGTGCCACTCAGTCTCTGGGATGTAAAGATGGACAAGACACGATGCATTGGCCTCCAGAAGAGGTGTCTGGTGGGGAAGAGGCAGGAAACAAAGAGGACACTGAGATTCTCACCACCTGAGTTAGAAGAACACAGACAGCAGAAACCCAGTCCTAGGACAGCAGCAGACACCAGTAATGGGAAGGCACTCTGACTCTGGGGAGGACAACTTTCCAGTTTGTTACCAAAGCCCAGAGAACTCTAGACAAGGAATCTTCCAGAACAGTTTGAAAGGAATGGAAAAGGCAGCGAAGGCTCAGAGACAGACCCTGCCTAGCAAGTGTGCGGACAACATGAGAACTCAGAGGGCTCATGGTAGGCTGAGGGCAGAAAAGAGGAATGCAGTCTCTAAATAAGACAGTTTTGGGCTTGGGATCAGCTGCACAGACAAAAGCACCAAGGGAATGAACCCAAGGCCTAGGCCACCAGGGCTGTCATCCAGACTGCAAGCTGCTTGGTGGGTAAACCGGGGCAACATACTGAACCCAAAATTTAGTTTCCCCATTTGTAGAGTCATAGATGGTGGTTATAGCTTTGTCCTCCTGAAGGGATTAAAGCAAAGATCTGGTCATCAGCTCAGCATGGTTAAGTGCTTAGTTAAAGACAAGGTTAAATATTATAAAGTTGTGACTAGGAGCTAGAGGAGGGATGCTGGCGCCCTCAGCGTATTTCTGTGTCATATGCGGGGAGTGATGCATGCCTTTGGCATTACTCTCAGGATTTGGTGTGTTCTTGTACGCAGTAGTTCCTCAATAATGAAGGTTCCTCTCTTTTCCCCTTCAGGGTATTCCTGCATCTTTGGAAATGAAGAGAAGCTTTGGAACAGGCCACAAGGGTAGGGTGAGCTACCGGGGTCCCTTCTATTTTAATTATATCACATAGCTTTATAAGGCTACCAGCACCTCTGCAAAACAAATATGAAACCCTACCACACAGTGGCTCGGCTGAAAAACAAAGGTCATTGTTACAACATGTGCATCACTTTAGCTTTGAGCGAGGTCACAAAGTCACTTTGCCTTTTCTTTCCCAGCCTGGAGAAACCAAGCAAAAAACCCCTAGAGATGAGTAAGAAGAGACCCATGAATGTTTTTGCTTCTCTAAAGAGATAAAGTTCAATGTGCAGCACTCACTAGACTGAGCTGCCAACTGAATGGCATAATCACTTCCACGCAGAAATCTCTCAAAAAAAGCCTCTTGGGGTAGGAGTTGTGGGGCAAGACTGAGTTCCTTGCTGGTCAGCCGGATTCCTTTGGCTACTAGGAAACTCTCCCCCAGAGGGAACCGAGAAGTGTTGGAAGCTGAAACAATCTCTTCTGTTTCCTTAATGAACTGCAGGACATAAAGCTTCGCTTCTTCACAGGCGCCAGGACCTACAGGACAGAAATATTACAAGTGGATTCTTTCACCATGTAATGCTCTCCGTAGACCTATTGAAGAGCGCGCATACACACACACACACACACACACACACACACACACACCCTCTCACACCTTTCATACCTCATCTGCTTCCTGGTTTTACCTAGAATCTCACTCAACGTTTAGAAGGATCCACTACATAAGCATGCCAGGCACTGTGCTAAGCACATTTACAGAATTGAACTTAATCTATACAACAGCCTAAGAAGATACTCTTAGCCCACATTGCCAAAGAAAAACAGACTTAGAGAAGTCATATAACCTCCCAATTAGGAAATAACTGATTCAAAATTCCAGTCTACACAGCTTCACTCTAAAAACAGTGATCTTGACCAGATATTCATAATGGAAATATGGGCAGATGATGGACAGATGGAAAGATGGATGGATGGGTAGGTCAGTGGTTGAATGGATAGATGGATAGATAGCTAGGTATTGCAGGTAGCAAAGAGTTACTTTTGTTAAGAAGAGCTTGGTTCTCAGCAACTCCTGAATTTGACATTTTAGTCACTCATTAGTTGTGTGATCATGGCTAATGTGTTTAAAGCCTCTGAGCTTCAGTCTCTTGAATACATGCAATGGTGATAACTGAGCATCTATTCCAACTGTCCATGAGGTATGTTGTGTATGAGTGTGTGTGTGTGTGTGTGTGTGTGTATGTGTGCAAGCTTTCACTACACAATTCAGACTCATAATGATGCTCCTATTTTTGGCCTCCCTAGTGCTGTGATTACAGATGTGTGCCACCACAGCTGGACTCCATCACCAGCTCAGCATGCCTGGGGGTAGGGCCAGTGTGGCATGTGGTGCCAGGGATCGAATCCTGTTCTTTGTGCTTACCTAAGCAAGCGCTTAGCCCACTGAGCTATCTTGTCAGCCCTGTCCATGAATTTTATAGTGATTCTTTGAGGGGCCATAGCTGAAGAGTTTGGCACAGCACCTGACTAGAGGAATCATCCCTACATGCATGTGTATAGGAAATGGTCTCACCATCAAATGTATTAATCCACTATTATTCGTTAAGAACCTAGTTCTTTCCTCTCAGTGGGTTCTACTCAAGCTTTTAAATGCCTTTGATTTGCCCGGAAATGTTTTAGAAAACCAGGTTCTGATTCAGGAGGAGAAGTCTGAGATCTTGAACCTATAGCAAGTTCCCAGATGCTGCAGATGCTACAGGACACTTCGAGTATACAAGCTGTTCACATTTCTCTATCAACACATGACTGTGAATACGTGCTGCCTCCCCAAATGTGGGTATTTCTTTCTCAGTAAAGCATATCCACACACCAAAATAAAATACTAAGTGAAATGTTCTCATGCTATTCGCAGTGTTTCAGCTGTTAACATGTAGTAAATTCAAAAACAAAAATACACATTTGAAAGGAAGACACAAAATACTAAAAATTGTACTAGTACTTACTTCTTAAAAATACATTATTCGGTGTGCCTTATTACCTATTCCATGCCACTCCTATTACTCAAAGAGAAGTCCCCTCTGCTCTAGCTGAGATTTTATGCTCAGTCCACCATCCTTTTAGGACCAGCAACACAGGAATCTATAAGAGTGCACCAAGAGAACTAGGTCCAGTCCTACATGGTCTAAAATTATACAGGCATCCCTCGGTAGAATACCTGACCTTTGGCATGGAGAATGATTCTATGGGCCTCACAGAAATAAAGAAGGCTCCTCATGTAAGAGTTATGCCAACATGGACGCACTGATTGTGAAGGCCCTGTTGGACCTCAGGTCTTCCTGTTACAACGGCTAATCCTTGTAATGTCATCTCCCAGCTGTTGAAAGACCGAGGACAGTATGCTGTCATCACATGATCCTTTCAACACCTGTTCTCAAAACCCAGGTTCTGCCAAAGCCTCAGCTTCTGCTAACACCATGTAACATTGTAACACTATCACAAAAGGTTCTGACAATAATATACAATATCGTAATTAATGAACTGAGGGATTTCAACCAGAGTGAACAGCTATAATATTACCTGTATTACCAACTGTTGGTTAGAGAGATTCTAATTTGATAATAGCAGTACTGAATCTATCTGGATATTTTCTAAAACTGCTGGCACAGTTATTTGAAAATGCAGCATTTTAATTTAAGATAGAGAGGCACCTTTGATGCATATTTTATGCACCATGGCTTTCCTATAAGGTCCATCTGTGCCTATCCAAATAGTCTTAATTAAATATCTCCAGTCAGTTAGAGGCGCTGTAGGTGGCGCCTTCCTGGGCTCCTTGTAGAGGCGTGTGGAAGTAGCAGAGTCACAATGGCACTTGGAGATTTCCTGAATGGTGCGTGAAGTATTATGGTATTACTAAAATCTCCCTAGGGTTATGTGAACCCTAGGGAGGTGATGAGCACTCTCCTAGCTGTCACTGGCTCTAAGATAATGCTCACTGCAGAGAAACATCAGAGAAAACTTAAGACATCAGTTTGAATGATCAGTGATAAGATGTTTAGTGATGGATGGTATCACCTGACCATACAGGAGGGAACGTCACCAAACCTGAGTCCTGATCCTCTCAGCTGCACATTGCAGAGACTGGCCCTCTCTGAGCTCCAGGCCACACTGATTCCCTCTCACCAGACATCCCTGTCTAAGAACACAAATTTGGTTCTTCACAGAAGTGCACTCACATGCCGGGATCTGGCTTGGTTTGGCCCGCGTCCCTTCCAATTCCTGCCCAGCCTTGTCCACACACCAGCAGCTCCGGAGGTCCAAGTGTGCCAGTGGGGTGCTGAAGTCTGAGTAGGGCCCTGGGTATCGGCTTAGCTGGCTGTTCAGGATTTGCCAAAAGAAGAAGGGCTCCAGGAAGATGTTCTGTGCAGGCTGCGTCAGGTTCCCTTCCAACACTGCTGGAGGGACATCCTGGAGGGAAGCGAACTGTGCTAGCACGGGGAATATGCCTTGTTGGCCACTCTCATATAGACTTTGAACAAAGAGATGGAAGTTTCCAGAAGCTGCTTCTCTATAGCTTGTGATGCTCATCAGAAGCCTGGCAGGGTTGAGATCTTGGGCCTCAGGGTTCTGAGCCCTCCATCGATCATACCATTCAAAGACTTGCTCGGGTGGCCCATCACACTGCACGCGCTGCCACTGCCCATCAGCACTGCACTGTGGGATGTAGACGCTGGAGAACGTGGACGGCACACTGGAGTTGGTGAGCAGGGACTGTGTTAGGGCTAGGAAAGCCTGCTCAGCCTGTAACTGACAGGGGCTTGGGCCTGGGGAAGAATAACAAATAAGGTGTTTTAGTTAAAAAAAAAAAAATAATAAGTCAGAAAGACAAAGATGGAGTCACTTAAAGTTCTAAGCTCTATCTACAACCTCATATAGTTGCAGAAATCTTTTTTTTTTTTCATCTATTTAGTACAGGGTCTACAGGGTCTCACTATGTAGATCAGACTTATAGTGATCCTCCTGTTTTCAGCCTTCCAAGTGCTGAGGTTACAGGTGTGTACCACCATGCCTAGTCTCAGTTGCTATCTCAGGGAGCCCCAGGGGTGGGGCCGGCATGGCTTGTGGTGTAGCTGCAGAAATCCTGACAGCCTTAAATGCATAGATACATAGGCAAAGGGCACCATGACTGTGTCAGCTACTGACCAGCACTATGCAAATACATGTAGTTCTTTAAGGCTAAAACAATCTCCCTACTTTCTCCTTAAAATGGCTAACATTGTCCAGGTCTTCTTGGACAATTCCTCATTTAAGCAACCAATTTTGTCATTACCTGAATTTTACCCTTTCTCCAGAACTGAATTCTTCCTTTGTGTGTGTGTGTGGTGGTTGGGTCAGGGACTACAGAGTGACCCAGTGAGTCTACAGATCAAATACCCAACAGACTTACATTGCTTGGGTTCCCCAAGTGTACTCTGAGTTCCAGGAATAGGCCGACCCTCAGAGTCAACACAGTAGCACTCTGAGTTGAAGCACTGGACAGGCAGGAAATGCCCCTCGCTGGTGCAAGAAGGAACAAACATGCTGGCCCCGGCAGGCTGGCTGCGTATTCGGCTCTGCATGCGAGCCCTTTGCTTCTCACACTCCGTGGGGCACCTCGGCTGTCCACCTCTGACTCGAGAGTCAGGAAGTTCTTTGCCCCGCAAGTCCACACACCAGCACTCTCCAGCAAAGCACTGGATTTCCTCGTAACTTCCTGTCACTGTGCACGAGGGGACAAAAAGCCTTCCAGGTGTCTGCTCACAGGCCTGGGAGCTGAGCGCCATCTCCGTCACATCACCCAAGTCCCTTACCACCTCTTCAGGTACAGCAATAGCATGCTGCAAGAAGAGAAGGAATTCAGGATGCTCCAGTAGAGAGACAACAAACTGTAAGGCATTTTGGTTCTCTTGCAAATTGATTTTAAATCCAAAGCTGCCCATAATTGACTTATTTGTAGCACTGAGGGGCTCTGTGATAGAATTGGAATCTAATCCCCCAGAAAGTGGTTTGACCAGCTCTCCTGGTCCCCCTCCATTCCGGAAGCCCGGGAGACCAAGCTGCTGGAAGAACTGACTGAAGTTAAATGTGCCGCTTGTGCCAAGAGCTCCAGACAAGTTAAACTGGCCAAGGTTCACCAAAAACATCCCACCAAAGAGGTTTTGCTGTAGTTGCTTTGGGTTAGTGGTAAACTGAAGGGCGAGATGGGCCAGCTGTCGGGAGGGAAAAATAGCTCTCATAGCTTCTCCAATCAGACTTTCGAATGCAGAATCCTGTGGCTCCTGCCCTTTCACTATTAGGGGAAGAAGCCCCGAGTCCACAAACAGCTGCTTGATCCTGGTTGGGCAGGATGTGGCAGGCCTCGCTCCTCCCTGAGTGGCAGGTCCCTCCTCGGAGGCAGAGAACAAGTCACGCTGGCTGATGTAGCCAGAGGGCCCAAAGTAGAGCCTGGACAAAGCCCGCCGCCTTTGTGAGGCACAAGTTTGGTCTCCAGCTGCATGGGCAGAAGTGAAATGGGAAATAGGATTTAGCATCACCAGCAAGCTCAAGCCAGCCCCTCAGATCCTTCTAGCACTCAGATGCCACAACTTCCAGCAAGGCACATTCACTTCGGAACACTTTCTTCTAGGTGGCCTTTTATTACTACCTCCGAGCCATGTCTGCAGGGCCATTTGGAGAAAGTGACTAACCCCGCCCACATGACCCCTTGCCTAGCTTTCACTAGGACATGATTCTGTTCTACAGCAAGCCTCAGCTACACTGGCCCCCTTCCGGAAGCCTCACCCCATTTGCCAACTGGACTGGGCATTATAGTGTTCTCTTGCAAATCCATGTCTACCTAGAGCCTCAGAATGAGACCACACTTAGAATTAGATTCTTGGCAGATGGAATTGAGTTAAGGTAGATTAGACTGAGCTGTAGACCCAGTGACTAGTGTCTTTGTAAGAAGGTCATGTGTCAGGTGGTATAGCTCATGTGAGAAGTGAGACACAGATTGGAGGGATGCAGCCACAAGCTAGAGAATGCCAAAATGTGCCAGCTGTCACACTCACAGGGCCCTCTCAGCATCCTGATTTCAGAGTTTTTGCTTCCAGGACTGTGGGAGAACAGATTTCTGTGAAGCCACCCAGTTTATGGTGATGTTACAGCAGTCCTAGGAAACCAGCACACACATTTCCTAAGATGATGCTTCCCCATGTTCTCCTGAAGAATTCCTAAAGGACTCCAATGCTTCACTACCTGTATAATCCCTCTTTACATTAAAGCGCCTGCTTAGGCAGACACAGGGCCAGGGTTTAGTCGCCAGCCTGCCATGCTGGCCCTGCCCTCCAGGGCGTGCTGAGACAGTGATTGAGCCTGGGCCTGATGGTGCACACCTGTAATCCCAGCACTTGAGAGGCTGAAAACAAGAAGATCACTACAAGTCTAATCTGTCTAGTGAGATCCTATAGACCCTGTACTAAATATATTTTTTTAAAAAATCCCTCTTTACAGGTAGTCTTGTCTAGGCTAACTGGTTTAAAATCCATTTGAGGACAAAACTCATACCTTAAAATTGTTAATGCTTCTGATAATAAGAAATATTTTCCTATACTATGACAATATTTAAAATATAGCATGGGAGAAGTGAGGCATGGTAGCATATACCCATAATTCTAGCACTTGGAAGACTGAGACTGGAGGATCACTACAAATTGCAGGTCAACCTGGGCCTTAACATTCAGGTTGGCTGCAATCTCACTAAGAAAAGGCACGCAAGATTCATGTGCCAGTGGCTATCTCAATCACAGGTAAAAGCAAATAAACTCTACTTTTTCCATAAAATCATAAAACTTAGGGTACATTTCAAGCCATTATCTCACCCTCTACTTTCTAAAATAATTATTTCCTCTTGACTCAAAGAGATGCCAGAAAGACAGACACATTCCCCTCAGCAGCCAGACTACAGAGAAAGACCTGGAAGATGTGGTGAGGAGAAAAGTCTGGCAACATAAGAACCCCTAACATATCCCTCAGCATAGCCCTAGCTTCCTCAGTGGATCTTAAAAGCAGATGTGGAAGAGCCACTGCTTTGTTTCTTCACCCACTAATTCAAACCTGAACTCAACTCCAAGCATTTTTTTTTATAGAGAGCTACCAGGGCAAAAACTTCAGATGTTGTTTCTATGGGCCATGTGTTTCTGCAGCAGTAAGGTTGACATACCAAAGAGAAAAAAAAAAACAAAAAACAAAAAACATAATTCATCTATAAATTTGAAAGAGATATTATTTATAATTTTGAAAGCCAGAATTCGTCATTTCTACCTGAGAGTTGGAAGGCAATCTTTCCTAGCCTTTAATAGACTGAAATGCAATTGTAAATGCATTCAAGGGAAGACACTTAGATTACTTGTTTGAAATACTCACACTTAGCAAACAGAATACTACCAAACACCAGGCAGATAATCTGAAGGGCTACGTGGGACAAACGGATGATTTAACAAGGAAGTATTGGAGGAATGTTAATAGATGCCTATTTTGAAGCTATGTAAAACTTGTGCTCCTCCTGCACTGGTTCCAACATTCCTAAACTACCTCCTTCCTGTGGTAGAAGGCTGGGAGTACTCCTGGATCTCTCCCTCTCCCCCATTGCTAAGATTCTTCACAATCGCACTGATAAGATGAAATGGGGTCTCACTGGGATGCCTAGCAATAGTTGTTTTCACATTCATAGTCTCTGTTCCTTTTACATTAATATTTGCCCCCATACTGGGTCGAGCAATGTTCCTCCTAGAACGCATGGTCTTCCTAGAATCACAGAATGGGCTCCTATTTGGCATCTATTAACATTCTTCCAATATTCCTCCAATTCACAGAAAAAGGTTAAGAAGCTAATCAGGGGGCCCTTAGGCTAGCATGACTGATATTTGATCAGAAGAGAAGAGGCAGACATGGAGAGAAGGCCACCAGGTACAGTGGAGACCACCATTGGAGTTAGGCTGCCACAAGCCAAAGGCTGTGCCCCACCAGGACTGCTGGCACCACCACAAGCTAAGAAGAGGCAAAATAGGCTCTTCCCATACAGCCTACAGATAGAGAACAGCCTTGTGACTCCTTCAATTTGGACTCTAAGACCCCAGATCTGTGAGATGATGAATTTTGCTTGTGTTAAGCCACCCAATATCTGTGATGCCCTATTAAGACAGCCCTAGGAAACTAATGAAGCTTCCATTACCTCCCGCTCAGATATCACAGTGAGCTTCCAATAGGATGCACTGCCTCGGACCCAATGCTTCTTTCAGTCTCTCCCCTAAGTGCTGTGGGTAATCTGTCTTACACACAGAGCCAAAGCTGACATCAGCAACTTGCAACCTCTTCATGTCTTCCCTGACCTCCAACATGAAGCCCCCAGCCTTCAACAGGATAAGAAAGACCTCCACACCCTCACCACTTCTCTTCCATCGCTTCCTTGCCTCCTTCCACCATCTTCTGGGGCAGTGCACCCATCCACTCACTCCAGCCCTCCTGCTGAGCCAGCATTCACCAGCAAAGCCCTACATTCACCTCCCATCATCTTGTGGCTTCCCTGCTGTCAGCAGAGAATTCCCTTCCATGCCTTCCCCTGGAAGCATTTCCGTGTAGACACTGAGGAATGTCAGCTCGCCCATGAAGCCATCCCAGGTGCCTCCTCCCTCCTCACACATGCTCTGAGATGGAACTGGCAAGCTCTCCCCTCACGCCCCTTCAGCTGCTTGGCTGTGCTTGTTCCTTTGCATCTGGCAGCCTAATTCTCTTTGCTTTCATTTCATCTCTGAGCCCTGGAGTATCCCCAGAGTCTTCGAGGAAGCAGCTCCAGTTGATATAGGATGAGAAGCATGTTGATTAAGGTGTTTGTTTTGTTGTTGTTGTTTTGAACTACCAGGAACTGAACTCAGGACCTTGTGCTTGCCAGGCAGGTGCTTATGCTGCTGAGCTATATCCCCGGCCCAGCAAGTTGAGAATTAGTAACAACAAACTGCTTTTCAGCTGTGGTGGGCTGCAAGAGCTGTGGAATGGATGAGCTCCAGAGAGTTTGGTTTGGAGAAACACTGAAGTGTACAATCAGAGAGATGAGGAGGATGCCCTGCAGAGGAAACCCACCACAAGAAAGTGGCTCTCCATCCTGCTGCTGAGTCCCAGGGATCTCCTTCCCCTGGGCATCAACACACCAGCACGGCCCTTGGGTCTGGCACTGCACAGCCTGGTAGTCCCCATTTCGGCGGCAGCTTGGAATGTAGGGATGGCCAAAACTAGCTGCTGCAAACTGTTCCACTTCACATTTTGTGGGGCCTGGAAGAGAGCCACAGAGGAACAAGGGCACTGTGAAAGCCAGCCAGCCACACCCTGCATCTTCATAGAATGCATTTCCCTCTGCTGTTCATGATCTAAACCTCCACATTTACTTTGGTGACATTCCCAGGCAGACCGTAGTGACCTTAAGCCCCAAGCAGCTCCCCCACCCCAGTAGAAATGCATGCATCTACCCCAGCAGAAATGCATGCATCTGTGTCGGCAGCTGGTCACTTACATCGGAACCTTCCAGAGATGACTAACTGAACCGCTAGGAACCGTCTTTGCAATATCCGGTACAAAGTGGATTCAGTAAAAGTAGAAGCCAAGTCCAGGCCAGCAAAAACAGTGTCATAAATTTCATCCAGTAACAGCTCCAGACCTGGGCAAAGGCAGCCAGTATTTCAGGGATGGCTCATTTGGGAAGAAAGCCCTAACTTTGCTGTGCTGCTAAATATCAAGCAGGTCAGAACTTTCGTCAGCATGATTAGGCATCAGGTCTGAACATTACTTTAATAGTTTCAAAAGTCAGGGCTACTGTGTCTAGTCATGAGATCATTCATGGCACAAACGGGCACCAACTAGAGAATGCGAGGTTGCAATCTACTCTGCTTTCCACTCTGAGCTAGGAGCTGTATCTGCCCAGAGGTGGTGCCTCTTTCAATGTGCATGAAGGCACAGGACAGGACAGCAGCAGCTGCATTCACAGCACCACAGACAGAAGTTCTCTGAGGCCATGTTCTCTTCCATACTCACAGCAGCCTGTCGAGGGGGCCAGTGGCCATCGCTATATCAGCTTCCAAGTTAAGTCTTCGAGCCTGGGGATTTCAGTCCCTCTACTCCTGTGTTGGGCTGAGCTGCTCACCTGTTTCAGCCAGTTCCCGCCCTTGACTGTCAGCACAGTGGCAGTACCCAGACACCTCAGGGAACCTGCTCCGGAATGAGCTGAAGGTCACAAAGGCATCTGGAAACCTGAAAGAGAATGAGATTTCTAGTCATCGTCCCATAAAAGGCACACCACATCATCAGTTCTTCTTGTCAAAACAAATGCAGCCAGGCTGTCACCTGTGGAAAGAGAGCGTCCATTTTTGGCTCTCGTGCCATGTGCCCCATGAGTCCTGCAGTGACTGCATTTCTTTCCTATACAGGTTTGATGCAGCCAGAATAAGCCTGCATTTTGTAAAATGTGGCTTTCATCAGTAGTTATTTTCTTCATTTAGGGAGTTCAGCCAATTTATGTCCATGCATGTGTCTCTCTGGGCAAAGCAAAACACACGCAGTAGATGCATCACATTAACTGAAATCTTTATCAGAATATAACTTTGGAGCAAAAAGGCTAGGTTTGTTTTTCAAACATGGTACACTGTATATGATCTCATTTTGTGGGACCAAATTATTGCAGAAGTCTTTATGGCATTTCAAGGGTTTGGAAAGCAGCCGGATTCCACCACAGGAGAGCTGTAAGGACAATTTCCAGTTCTAGAGTTGTAAAAAACACAAAATCAATATAGCATCACTAACAAGGGCATTGTGGCTTTGAGTAAGTTCAGGAAAGGTCAGCCTTGGCCAAGGCCAAGCTGGTAGTTGGTACAACATGCTCACGGGCTTGGTGAGCTCTGTGCTGTGAGTTACAGGAAGCTGACGTTTGGAGAGTCCTGCAGCCTTCTCCCACATGCAATGATTTGGCTATCAGAGAATGTTCCTAGTTATATAATATTGAGGGGTTTTTAAGTCCTGCATAATTAGTACCTGAGGCCCAAGTATGCCTGGAAATCTATCTCCAAATAACATATTAACAGGAGATCAGTAACTTTCTTCATAAGCAGTAAACTTCTGTGATCTCTTCTACCAGAATACTGAAAGCACTTTCATGTCCAAAAATGAGAAAATTAAGAATTACAGCAAATCCCCTAAATGAAATAAGTTACTACAGTTAAGGGTGGCACTTATGATCTACAGACACACGGGAGCATGTGCGAATGTGTGGAAAGCACTGCTTGCATAAAAAGCTTCGCACACAGTTTCTGTGACTGTGTAAATGGGTCAGTCCTGGAAGGAAGTACGCAGGGTAGCAGCTACCCAGATTCTGAATGAGGGGTGCAAAAAGTATTAGTTATTTTGAATTTAATTTGAAATAAATATGCAAACCAAAAGTTATGAAAACTAAGATTTTGATGTCTTCTATATCATTGGCCCATTATTAAATATTGTGGGTTATATTAAAATGAATATTATAGAAAATGTATTACATAATAAAAACTGAAATTTTATTTGCCTCGTTGCCTCTGATGGGGAGTATAGAATAAATAAAAAGTTCATTGACTAGAAACTGGGAGAACTGAATTATAAATTGTTAATAATAGTATAATTGCTGCTTGTGTTTACTGAATACTATTTTACAAAGTCAAGCCTCAAAATGTCTAACACACATTGATTCATTTAATCCACTTCTGGTTCCTAAAAGGAAGGTCCTATGAATTTTCATTTCATTTTAGAGATGAAGAGGCGGAGGTACGTGGGCCAGCTCTGTGATCTTGTGCTGGGAACTGGGGCTGTCAGTGGGCTCTTACCCACCGCGTGATACCCGTCTCTGCCACAGCCCTTGCCCACTGTGCGTTTGGCTGTGCCTGCCTCCTGACTGCTGTCCCTGTCCCTGTGTGCTGACACTCCTTTCCCTATGCTCAACACCTCACTTTTCCTGGCATTCAGTAGGCACTGAAGATAGAGATATGGACCTAAGTGGACACTGATGTGTACTCTGCCACGAAGAGTAAATTTGAGTTTCTCCTTCCACTCATGCTCTCCACCCACAAACTAAAGGCTCACCTCACCCTGGGGCCCAGGGAAGTCAAAACCTCCATAATATTTGTGTCATGTTTCCTCCACCACTTTATAATCAATGTCCCTCTCCTAGGGTGTCTGCTCTGGTCTTATAAATTGCCCAGTACCTAGACCTACCAGTGTTCAGGTGTGGACAGTGCTCTTGCGCTCTCACCTTCAGCCATGCTGGAGGTGACCCTGGCTCTGGCTGGATGTAAGGTCTTTCCAGCTTTCAGGAAGACTGCCCTAAGGCCGGTTGCTGCTACTTAGCCTCTCTAACCCCTTCAATGTCTCCACGGAAGATGTTCTGTGCTGCCATATGCAACGTCTTCTTTCCAATTCTGTATGTGGTGAGAACAACTAAATGCATGCAGCCACACATGCCACAGTTTCTTCCCTGGCCTAGCCACATACGACTGATACTAATTACTACTCCAAAATAGTAATAAGCATGATGCATTTAACAGTCAGACATTATGCCAAGCGCTCCATATCCTTTGTCTTATTTTAATTCTCATAGTAGTCCTTTTAAAGGGAGAAATTTGGGATTAGAGTGGTGATGGGGTAAGTAAAGCTCACCCAGCCAAGAACAGAGAACAGGTGTCTCCTGTCCCCTTCCAATGCTCTTGCAACAGAGAATATGAACAGGAAGGGAGACTATCACTTAAACAGAATATGGTCCTCCAAGGGCCATAGAGCAAACAGCAGTGACCTCAAGCCCTGAATCATCCCAAGTTGCTACGTGTCTGTAATCCTATTTAATACAACCTGATTTATGCAGGTAACTTCTGAAATGATATCACCACCTCTGACGTTGGGCTCCTCCTCCAACATAATGACTTGCATTGTTAGGATGATTTAGTTGTTGCTTCTGCTGGTGTCACTGGCCATTTATGCCACTGATACTAACTCCAAGAGAGTTGGAATTCTGAAACAGAATTTGTTCAATAAGAAGGAAAAACCGGGATGAGGAAAAAGACAAAAGAAAGGGGAAAAGATGTATTTAGGTATATATGCAGGATAATTTGGATAACTGTAGTACTAATTTCTACTGGTCTTTGGAAAGGAGCAGTTAATGCTTAAAATTTTTTCCTTTCTATTTTTTTCTTTTGAATTTCTTACAACTTTTTATTACTGCTTTGTTTTGTTTTTTCTTTAAACTAATCTTGCACGTTTATATCTGGTAACCTGAACAACTAATTTGAAGATAACACCAGGCAATACAGCAATGATTGTTGAATTCCTGTTACTTTGTTTAGTGAAATTTTGTATCGTTTCTAATGTTAGTTTTTTCTGTTACTATTTTGTGTTCTTAAAAGAAAAATTCTGAAACAGAACTAAGAGATCTGTTGGGAGCAGGACAGCACCGTTCCATCCTGATGTGGGTAGAGTATGAGTGGACAAAGACTTCGCTAATAGAGATAAAAGGGGTAGGGCTCCAACACCAAGAATGGCCATTCTATTGGGTGGAAACGGAAGAATTTTAAATGCATCCACAAGGATCATTAGCATGCTTCCAAATCCCACAGAGAAGACAGACCCCAGTCATGGGAAAAGGAGGAAACAAAACCTCTGGTAGTCACAGAAGACAGTGCACACACAGGAGGGAACGCCAGCACCGCTGCCTCTGTCACCCAAATGCTCTGTGTGGAAACACTGTGTCTGTGGCTTCTCCTGGGCACTAACCTTAGGGACCTGACACTGTACGGACAGCAGGTGACTATCAAGGGGTGCACAGTACTGCCTTCTTTATGAGCGACCGAGGGTCACACTTCTGCTGGCCTCAGCAGAAGAATAAAGTGCATTCTTCTGAGAAACAGAATCATTTTTATCTAGCAGAAACAATAATTTAATGTTTGTTCAACTTAATACATTTGTCACTTTTCTGGTTTTTGGGGTTTGGAGATAAGTACAGTTTCTCATACTTGTTATATTTTGATAAAATGATTGGTGCAGATCCATCTTTGCCTTGACTTATGCCTACCATTATGCTTCCTTCCTCATGATTCCCCACAGTTCTTACTTTCATTATGTTCTGGGAATACTGGAAAAGAGAAGAAACACAAAACCAACACAGTGCTTGAAAATAAAAATGCTATGTAGTCCTTCTAGTGGAAAAGGTTGTTTGCCTTCTGTTGAAAATAAAAAAGCATTTCTATTGATATTATAGGGCAGGGGAAGGGAATAAAATATAAGAAACAAATGAACATGCCTTAATGTATACATGTAACCACTCCCCAAGATGATGGTAAGCTATATGAACTGCAAGCAGGTACAAGTAAAATAAAAAAACTTTTTTCAAAAAGAGAAAGAAAAAAAAGGAAGGAAGGAAGAAAGAAAAATAAATTTTCAGAGTGGTCATAAAAGAATCCCAAAGAAAGAAAATTCTAGAGGTGGAGATAGTAATGGTATTTTTGAGTATATGTTTTGATTGTTGCCCACCTAGACTTAGACAAGTTACAAATAAACTTTAGTGCATCTGAAATGCTAGTCCCCACCCCACTCGTGACTCATATTCAAACAGTTTCTCTCACTCGTGCACCCAGGAGCCTCTCCAGAAACCTAAGCAGCAGTTAATGAGCAAGCACCACATTTGCAGTAGAGTAGGGGTGTTCCTCAGGGAGAGGCCATAGTGCCTAGTCTAGCAGGGTCTAGCATAGCACCTGGGGCATGAGCACACCATGGGATCTGGGTGGAGCTGATCAGATGACACATCCACAAGGGTTTTTCTATATGGTGTCTTCTCTGTTTCAGCCAGGGTGATCCTTCATCACTAAGTGCATCGTTGAGGAGCAATGACCCATTTTATCAGACAATCAGAGCAGCACTGGAGATGAGACTCATTGCTGAGTAGTATGAGCAGCTATGCCACCAAAGGCGAGTGTTGAAAAAGAAGCCGATTCACTGAATTTCAATTCAGATCACCAAAGCCATGATAACAGGATCAGCTCTGCTTGAAGGCTTTGAAGATCTTTACCTGTGAGCTGCTTGGCAGAATGCATTCCCAGAGTTAATGTTTGAACTAGGACATTTCAAGGCATTCAGATTATTCTCCATCATATATATTTTAAATCCACCACTCAAGTAAGTGAGGTAAGGAGTGACCTTAAAGAGGTAAAAAGACATACTCCAAATGGGCAAACACTATCGCCAAGTTCAAGTGTACCTCACTACCCAGCACACGAAAAACTCCTAATGAGTTGGCAAAATGTGCTGTGCACAGGCTGTACCAAGGAAATAGCCTCAGATTCGATATTCAGAAGTAAATTTTGCCTAAAATTTAAAATTATGTACATGCACGAAGTGCATTTTGTGACTTTCCTTTACAAATTTCACCTCAGCTATCTACCCAGAAACCAGATAAAGGAGTCATCCCTAGCTCTCTCCTCCCTCCCTTTCGCATACATTCCTTCACCACACTGCAGTTTCCACCTGGCAAATATTTCTCACGCCCCACCCATCTCTCAGACACCCTGTCCAGTGTCTTCTCTAGTCAGAGGCTACACAGTCTCCCCCATCTCAAGCTAGGCCAGTAGCCACCCAACTCAGGGTCACTTCTCATCACCTACTCTGCTTTTCCCTCATTCCGAGTCCATTAAGTCCACAGTCTAAGCCAAGTGGTGTTCTTTCCTACCCTAGCCTAAAACTGCAGCCTTAAAAGACTTGCCTCATTGAGGCCACACAGTGAAAAGGCTGCCTCTGCTTGTCTGAAACTCACCTGTAACTGGCAGCATTGTGTTGCTTCTGGCAACTCCAGGCACTAAACCCAAACTGTCCCTGGGGCTCCAAGTCTCCTGCCACTTTACTCAGAGGATTCACTAGACCTGGGCCTGGGACTGCCCAGGTTCACATCATTATTCAAAAATCTCCTGATTACTGCCAGGTTTGAAGTTGTCACCACCTAGCCCTTCTCAAGAGATAACTAGAATCTGTTCTCAAGCATACTTACTTACAGAAAAGAGAAGGATCTCCTTTCAGAAAGGAATGTTTTGTGTGTTGAATAGATGGATGCTTCCTTCTTAACTTCTGTGTTGAACTAGACTGCCCTCTTGTGGAGGTAGCTACGAGCTTTGCCTCAACCTCATCCTGGCACCTGCCAAGTTCTTGCTGCATCTGCCTATTCAGTAAGCACTGACTGCAGACTTACTATAATCAAAACCTTGTGTTACCCACTGTGGAGAATACAGATAAGTCATAATGGTGCAGGGCAATAAGAGGAGCCAGGCATCTTGAGAACCTACTAAGTAGGCTTCCTAGGATGAGTTCCTTAAGCACTGAGTTCCAGATTCCCCACGTGCACACTAGAGATTATAACTATGAAATTAGCTCTCTGGGTGTTAAAGTAAGTGGCAGGTACTAACTTCCATGGATTCAGTGAGCACTTGTGGGAACATGACCTGAGAACACCTTGGCTTAGCTAGTTTTCAATAAATCAGACTGCTTGAGAATTTCACCTGCTCACAGATAGGCCGTTCTCTAGTTGCCTGAGGACAAACAGCTCACCTAACTTTGCTGACGCACGAGAACCCCCTGTGATGAATAATAACTCACAACTTTTAAAGTTTGCAATGACTTCATAAGCGAGTCCCATCAGACCTCAAGTGACCTAATGAGCAGCGCACTGCACATCCCACTGAGTGAACACCTGGGCCCTGGGAGCGAAGGCGACCGGCCACTGTGCCAAGCAAAGACAGAGGCAAAATAAAGATCACTAAGGTAAGTGCCAATCTGGGAGTGGTGCTGCACACCTGAAATTCCAGAATTTTACAGGATGAGGCAGGGAGACTGCAAGCTGGGCCACTAAAAGAGACTTAGTGAGACACTGTCTCAAAATCTTTCTTTAAAGGGCTGGCCAAATAGCTCAGCAGATTAAAGTGCCTGCTTAGGCAGACGCGAGGGTCAGGAGTTCAGACCCTGGGCCTTCCCTGATGGCAACTGAGACTGGGGGTGGCAGCACACACCTGTAATCCCAGCACTTAGGAGGCTGCAAACAGGAGGATCACTATGAGTCTGATCTACACAGTGAGACCCTGTATACCCTGTCCTAAATACAAAAAAGTCTCTCTTTAAAGGTTCCATATGAAGGCCTTGATTTCAATCCTCAGTATTGCAGAAGTGAAAATAGACAAAGGCAAGTGTCATAAGGCTTGAAAGTAATGTAAATGGATGTAATTGGTAGGATGATGGCCCTGTACTGATCCTCCTGCCTCCGCCTCCCCAGTGCTGGGATTACAGGCATGTGCCAGGGAGCTGAAATACAGAGTAAGCCTTTGTCTAAAGCAGGCAGCTTATACCTTACTTCCCAATACCATCAGAAAATATGGCCTTCCCTTCTGTATTCTTTAAAAGCAGGAATTCATAATTTTTAGTTTTAGGTTCAATGTATGAAATTACTGATGCTGAACTAATTTTTTACCTGCAGAAATTGAAACCTCATAGTGTATAAGCTAAGAAAAGTTGCCAGCTTTTACAACATTCTGCATCTCACACAAAGTCTGTCTAGTAACCACTGCTGCACAAGGGCTGCTGGCCTGGGACTCCTGCTGACACAGCTGATGAGAGCGAGAGCTTCTGCTGCCACACAGCAAGTGATGAGCTGCTGCAGAAGCCAGCTACACAAGACTCGGGTCCTGCTACAGGATGCTCCTCGGCACTCACAGACCAGCACTCCTGCTTCCTTTGACATGGGATGGTTCAGTTATAGATGAAGTCTGCACATGCCTTTGCCCTAGCCAGTCAGCCATTGTGAATATCCAAAAACTACCTGAATCTTTGAGCCAGACTTATCACTTACCTCTTTTTCTTTTTCTTAATCTTTTATTTATTTGTTTGATACAGGGTCTCACTATGCAGCTTGGACTCGTAGTGATCCTCTTGCCTTAGCCTCCCCAGTGCTGGGATTACAGGCATGTGCGACTATGCCCAGTCTTGGTGGCCGCTCGGCAGGTGCAGGGCAGGGCCAGCATGGCATGTAGTGCCAGGAATTGAACTCTGTCCTTGTGCTTGCCTAAGCAAGCACTTAGTCTGCTGAGCTATCTTTCCAGCCCTTCATCTCTTTTTCTATTTGTTGTCTAAGTCCACAAATATATATCTATCTATCTCAGACCATATTACACCTGTGGTTTTCTCCACCTCTGCTGACATGTCCTCTGCCTGTGCCTTCTCCATGCAGCCCCAACACACACGGTGGCAGTAATAACCACATGTAGCTCCACATGGCATTCTGCACTCCCATAGCTTGGCATAATCATAAAACCACATAAAGCCCATATGAAGACTTTTCTTCTTGGGACCCAGGGAGATGGCTCAGTAGAATACGCGCTTTCCTGGTAAGCACAAGGGCCTGAGTTCAATCCCTGGTTCCACCAAAAAAACCAAAACAACAACAATAAAAAAGATTTTTCTTCTTGTTTCTTAAAACTTAAATCATATTATATTGCAATATCATATCTTAAATCATTCATCATAACACACTTTGGACTCCTTTACAATTCAGCTATTCGAGCTCTAACGCACTCCTTTGAAAGATTGCAAAAACCTTTATAGTGCCTATATATTTATTTAATCATCTACCACATTTTCTTTGTTCTTTTGGAGACACGTTCGCTATGTAGTTCAGGCTGGCCTTGAGCTCGCTCTGTAGCCCAGGCTGGCTTTGAACTTGCAGTGACCCTCCTGCTTCCACTTGCCAAATGCGGGGCTTACACGTGTGCACCACCCTGCTAGGCCCTGCCACCATTTCTAATAGTCACTTTTCCCTCCAGTTTTCTGGTACAATAAATAGTAACATGGTAGATACCCTAGTATACATCTTCAAAATCCAGTGATTCATTTGCATGAGCTGCCTGGGTCACAGAGTACAAATGTTTTTAATTTTAATAGTTGTTAGAGCTGAAATGCCCCTCAAAGGCTCGTGTGTAGAAAGGTGAGGCTTTCAGAAAGTGATTAGCTTCTCAAGGCTCTAATTTCATGGAAGAATTAAGCTCTTGATAAAATCATATTTTTATGATATTATTGAAAGGTGATGCAAATAGGAGGTGAGGTTATTTTAAGGAAGTAGTTCCTGGGGGTGTGACATGGGGGACCCTATCTCATCCCTGACCCCTTGACTCTTTTCCTTTGCCTAAGCCAGTGGCGTTTGTCCACAATACCATCCCTCCATGGTGCTCTGTCTTCTCACAGGCCTGGAAGCAATGGAGCCACAGGACTGTGTGCTGAGGCCTCCGAAGCTGTGAGCCAAGGCAAAGCTTTCCTCCTCAGCCTAGTTTTCCCAGGTATTTGGTTAAGGCGACAAATGTTGACTAACATAGAAAACAGTAATTATGTCTTGCTTGGGGGAATTGTTGAGATGTCCATCAGCAGCACCTCACAGCTCTTCCCTGTGAGCAGGAAGACTGACCCAGGGTGACCAGATCCCAGGGTTGTTCCCCTTACCTGTTGTAGCTGTGGATCAGATCGAAGATCATCATGTCTGTGGTGTTGACAAACTTGCACTGAACAGGCATAAACTCCCCTTCTCTGGAACACTGTGGGGGTGACTTGTCTCCTACCCCATGGAGAAGGCGACGGTTTCTAATCTCACAGTTCCCTGGACCTAAAGATTTTCATGAAACTGTGTTAAGTTCTTACGGATGGGCAGGGCATGGGTTTCAGTGTCAAGAGGCAGTTACACTACATGTGGCATGTTGGCCCTGACAGTGACTAAGAACTGCCACAGGAGAAAAGCAGCTTGTTGAAATCCTGCTTGTGCTTCTAATAATTACCCAACAAGAGGATCATCTAGCCTGAAGGACGATCAGAACTAATAAAACTACCTTCAACACTTCAGTCAATTCAAGGCCAGGCTTTCCACCCACGTGGACTGGCAGACCCAAACCATCCGGTCTATCCTGAGGAAAGCTGTGGCACCCCACTGTGCTGGAGCCCCATGAGACTTACATCGTGTTGGTCTCCCCAGTTGGCGGGTACCATAAACCTCCATCCCCTCTGTGTCCACACACCAGCACTGCACCTGCCACAGGTCACACTGCACAGAGGCGTAGTCCCCCGAGTCCTGGCACTGAGGGAGGTAGGAAGTAGCTGTGCTGTTAATGTAGCCACTCAAGAGGATCTGCTGTCTGTGCAGCTGGCAGAAGGACAGGCCTGGGGATGTGAAAGGCAGCATCAGCAGAGTGCTCTAGGGAGGAAGGCCCAGAGGGGGAGCCCAAGAAGACCCTCCCTCCCTAAGGGACAGAATGGAGAGGAAAACCACCAGCTCAAAGAAGCTCAAAACCAGCATTCAGGCTGGGTGTGGCAGCACTCGGCTACAATGCCAGCACTTGAGGGGTGGAGGCAACATCCAAAAGGCTCCAGTATCCTAGATAATGAGGGCAGACATCGCTAGCATCACATCATCAAGCACACCCTGGCTCTGCGGCTGGGACATTCTGCCCAGTGTTCACAGAGCTTGTCCAAATCTGGATTTCTGCCTGTGCCTGGCCACGTGCCCTTGGAGAGCCATTTCACGGCTCTATGCTTTGCTCTCCTTATCTATGCAATCGAAAGGTGCCTGCCTTCCTCCCGGCACGTGGGAGAGTGGCCCAGGGTGGCCCCACTGAACATCTCCTACGTGTCTGATCCCTGTGTTTACATCCTCACATCACTAGGAGGCGGAGCCTAAATTCCTGCTCCAGAGGAGCAGCCTCAGAGGAGCACAGGCACATGACAGGGCCAAGGCCATGCTGTCCTAGAGTGTAAGGAGCCAGGCTGCTACCGCAGGCAGCCATACCAGCCACATAAACCCAGAGCCCAAACAGAACTGCTGTTCATTAAAGGTTAGCTTTCTTTTCAGGTTCAACTTCATCATTTTAAGTCATCGACTTAAACTGACCTTGGTTTTAGATATGCCATGCCTTAAATGGTGACCATGCTTCTTTGATTACTCACTGTAGTAATTATTTTAACTGTAAAGCTTTTAGCTATGTCCCACACCCTACACTACCCCTACCATGGGTGAGAAAACACTCCTGGTTTTCAGAGCCACTTTCTGGCTCCTGGGCACTGCAACATCTCCTTGTCAATATTCCCACAGCACCTAGCACCTGGAACAACCTTGGCAGATTTTTCCTGAAAAACAAAGACTCAGATGTCTCCTTTGATTCTCACAGTAATGCTCAGGAGTGAGCTTTGCATGGTGTCCCAGGGCTCTTTTTATTAAGAGAGGAGGAACCTGCTGCTCCAAGGGTGACATGCCTGTGGCACTAGCCCATGTCCAGCACTCCTTCCAGGATGTGAGGTGCCCCAGGGAGGGCCTTCCTATCCCCCAAGTGCCGACTTCACACTTACATGCTGCTGGCCTCCCCGGCTGCCTGCTGCCTGGAACTTCCCTGCCGTCAGCATCCACACACCAGCAGGAGCGGCCATCATTTTTGCACTGGGTAGTCCTGAGGCAGAGGGACACAGCAGATGACACTGTTATGGATTCCTCAAGCTACACACAGCCTCTAAGATGATGAGGCCAGAGAACAGCAATTAGCTGGAGTGTACTGGGTGGGATGGAGTCAGGGAATAAAGTTGGTTCACAGGGAAGTGATGGCTAAACTGAGACCTCCAGGGGCCGCAGGGGTGGTAAGGGTGCCCAGGCAAAGAGAAGGGCGTGTGCAAAGCTTCCTGGGGACAGGAAAGACACAATTCTACAAGGGTCTGGAACAACAGATGTGGGAATAGATGCCTATACAAGGCTGGTCATGGTGAGAAGTCCCCCAACACCCTCCTAGCAGAGGCTGCACTAGGCGTGTGGCTTAGCATGTTCAGGAGAAGAGAATACAACAGGTGGTTAGCCCCATGCGGAATTCACAGGAGGGGGCCCTCACAGCTGTTTCTCAGAGAACAGCCATATGCGGAGTTTCCTAAGTTCAGCATATCTGCACCCACAAAGGGAATCTCGAGTGGATGCACTCCGTAAGGGTTCTCGTCTAACTCCACAGGGAAGAATTGTTTACTTCATCATCACTGCTCGGAGGCAGTCTCAGGACCCAAGCTTATGCGAGGTAGCTGTGAAACTCCTCAAAGAGGGACGCAGACCAAGCAGCCCAGGTCAGCCCCAACACGTGACGGGTGCCCCAAAGCTAAAGGCACATCTGCCTCCCTCCAGGCCACATTTCATGAGACAGTAGCATGTGGGGGCGCGGGAGGGGCAAGGAGTCCCCTTTTTGTGCTTTGCACACACTTTCTATTAAAGCTAGCCAGGGTAGTGTGTTGGAGGGACAAGAAGGGCAGTCGCTCCTCAGAGGGTGGAGGAACATCCACTTCCTCAGTCATGTTGACCAGTATCAGTTTAGTCTAGAAAACTAAGAAGCAGCCCTCTAAATGACTACAGCCACATGCCAACACACACCAAGTAGCTGGAGGGCACAGCATGGCAGGGGCAGAAGTAAGGGGGTGCTGGGGCCCTCGCTGAAGTCAGCCTTACTGGAAGCTGCCATCCTCAGAGCACTGTGGAGTGTAATCCATCTGTGTCAGAAAGGCCCGCTCCCTCTGCAGCTCACAGGGACGAAGTGGCTGGGCATCCACCTGGTACTCTGTGTAAAGAGAAGCGATTTGTGAGGGCTGGGGACAGGTGGACCCAGGCTGGCTTGCTAAAGCGTGGCTGCTTCCCTGGAGCATCATCATGGGCTAGCTGAGTCTGCCCGCAGCATGGCAGCCATGCATTCTGCTCCCAGGGGGATATTTGCTCCCTTTAATCCTCTGCACTCTACTGGGAGGTGATGAGTAACATCTCCGTTGACCCAAGTAGCTCCAAGGCTCAGACAGCAAAGTCATTCACCCAAGGTCAACAGCTGCGGAGGGAAGGATTCCAGAGCAAACCATGAGATGCTGCCAGGGGGGTGAGGTCAGAAAATGATGTGGAGGTCATTCCTGCACTTAGCATGCAACTTTCTGCAGAGGTAGTCCCTGCCTCACACATCGCAAGAATGCAGGGCAATTACTAACGTCTGCATGCCTATGAGTCTCTGAGAACCTTGTAACATGGAGGCTATTGCTCAGAAATCACCTGCACCAACACAGGCAAGAGGTATTCGGAACTTTTTAATGAAGAAGCTGCAGCTTGGCAGTTTATCCAAAGCGAGAAAAGTCTGAGTCTGAGCCCAAGCATAGACTTAGTTCATTCTACAGGTAGATTTTTTTCTTGGCTGCCTGCTGGCTTCTCAAACACCTCTCAAAGACACACAGGAAAGACACAGACTTTGGAGTACTCAAGGGGATAAAAGGACCTCAATCTTAATACCATAAAATTTAACATGGGCATGAGGGGAGCTAGACTGAAGTCAGGAGATAGAGTTTTCTCTCTCTGTGAATAATTAGCACTGTGACCTTGGGCAATTGAGATCCTCTAAGTCTCTATCTCTTCATCTGAAAAAAAAGAGGAGCAAATAGCCCAGCTCCAGAATAAAATTAGACAGTGCATCTAATTAAAGGCCCAGGGCAGAGCTGACGCACCTTGGAAGTCTACAAGGCTCCCTCCCTCCCCTGCTCCATGGCTTTATCCTGAGAACTCACCAAAGATGTTGGCTGACACCAAACAAGCTGAGCCCAGCAGGCCAAAGGCCCACAGGACTAAGGTCATTGTCCTGGCCCCTTTCCGGGATGAAGGAGGACTCCCTTCCCAGGTCCTCCAGCAGGGAGCCTTTATAGAGCTGTGGCTGGCACTGCTCTCCCACTTAGGGGCCCTCAGCTGGCCAGTGGCTCACTCTGTTTTCTGTGCTGGTCACAAGCTCTCTCCTCCACAACTGCACCCTCTGAGGGCACTTGGGTAGCCAGTGGGGCAAAACTTTGCTAGACTGTGGGGAACAATATGATATGGAGTATCTTCAAAATGCTTTCTAGGCAAAGGCCAAAGTTCGGTGGCTTTGGGAATGACAAGATTATGCCACCCTGGGGGAAAACCCACCCCTTCCTTCTTCCCTCCCCTCATCTGTCTTTTGCCACCTGGAGGGTGCAAGAAGGGACTTCCATGCTGACAGAGCCTGTGCCTCAGAGCAGTGCCTCTGGGCTTGCTAGCATCCGTCCTCCTGTCCTGTTCATGTGGAACCTGGGCAATGCAGCTCATTTCAGAGCCACAGCCTCTTCATCCACATAGCCTCGTAAGAAGGTAGTGGAAAGGTAGATACTCATGTGTCCCTGCTTGTCAGGGCAACTGGAAGAGAATGAGGCATTCAAGAGCACCTGGTCAGAAAATATTCAGTTTTCATTATTTTCTCATTTTGTGAAGGGTATCACACCAGGCTGTGTCAAATGGGAAATGCAGAATAGCCCCATAGGATAACACATGTGCAGGTGACACATGTGCTGGGCGGAGGGGGGTGTTCAGGGATGACCCAGAGGCTCACTGGAGACTTGGTACTGAAGGCCAAGGGAGGGGCATGTCACAATCTAGAGGAGTTCTGTCACGGAGAGTGGGCTGGAATCAAGTGGGAGATGAGCAGGCCCTGCATCGGGGGCCCCAGGGGGCCCCAGTGCAGCTGTGTGGCAGCCAGCTGTGGGCTGGGATGCTATGGATGGTAAAGAGGATAAATGCGGAGTTACTTAGAGTAGCAATGAACATAGACTAAGTGTCCACTCTTGGCCACTGCATCCATCCGCTCAGGCTTTACTACACAGCATCAGCGACTGAGGACTCAAGTTACGCGTGTCCATTTTCACATGGTTCTGGAGGTTGGAAGTCTCAGTCCAAGGTACCAACAGGGTTTAATTATCCCCAGGTTCCTCTCCTTAGCTTGGGTGTGACTGGTTTTTCCTGTGTTTTTTTCTTCTCCACAATGCTGTTTTCTCATCACCTCTTCTTATGAAGATAACAGGTTGGATTGGGACCCAATCTAATTACCTTACCCTAATTCAATACCTCAGTTATTTTCTCATGACTGGAACACAAATTCTGATAACTACAACTTAAAGAAGGTGAGTTTTGAGTTCAATTTTTAGTCTGTAAATGGTCAGCCTCAAGGCAGGAAGGCATGGTGGGAGGATCTAGCGTGGGTCTCACTTTGTGGCCTTCTGGAGGCAGACAGACTGCAAAGGGAGGACCTGGGAAAGGAGATACGTCCTACCACATCATGCCCCGGGGACCTCCCTCTTCTGATCAGGCCTACTTCCTAACATTTCATCTCCTGAATCACTTCTAAAAGCCCTCTTACAAGCACTTGGGGGACATCTAGATATAATCTATACTGATTAATTCCCTTCAAGGACCTGTTTCCAAATAGTCATATTCTGAGGTACTGGGAGACCTTCAATGTACGCATTGCACAGGATACACTTTAGCCCCCAGTAGCCACTGATATCATTGCTATCTTCATGATACAAAATAGAGAAAGAAAACCTTAGCAGTTAGGTTAAGTTTCAGGGGGTGGGACAAAACACGGGTAGGAGAGCCAGAGCAGGGCTCTGAGGTACAATGCCGGCCTAGTGCGTACGAGGCCCTGAGTTGGATTCCCAGTACTGCCAAAAATTATAAATAAATAAATAATAATGAGTCTGAAACTGTGCTCTGCACATCCATTCCGGGAAGCCCACAGGCCTAGGGCTCTCACATCTCTTTCTGTCTCCAGCCAGCCTTCTCTACTGAGCTCAAGTCCCTTCCAGTTCAACACATCGTCCCAAACTGACCTCTAAAACACACCAGCACAGGGCAGCTGCCTGTGCTGCAACCTTCCTAACCCTTTCCCTTTCCATCTCCACAGGGCACAAATTTTACCAGACAAGTGGTCATCCCTTCTCTTTGTAGCCTCTCACTCCTCTGTCTTCACTCCTTCATCCTTCTTTAGGTCCTCAGAGCTCAGAACAGCTTCTGCTCTAACCCTCACAGAAATTTCTTCACCAGCTCAGGGGCAGTCCTAGAAAATCTGACCTCCCAGCACAGATGGCTGGATGTGCATCCCTTGGATGCTTCAAAGGGCCAAAGCAGCAAGACCCTTTTGCCCTGAGGAGTAGGAAACATAACACTAATACTAATACTTAGATTTCAGGCAATGATTGGCTGGAGGAATTTTATTAAAAATTGAGACTGAGAGAACGAGCTCCTCAACCCAACCTCAGCTGTGGTTGTTGTACACAGCATAATCACAGTATGTCATGAAGTGGGCAGTAGCATTCTTCTCGCTGGAGTGACACAATCCCCACCACATTGTGTGGGTACATGTCATGTCTTCATTTCAGATAAAGCAATACATCTTAGAAAAAGTTAGCCTGGTCATAGCTTGCTCCAATAGCATCCTCACTACCTTACCATACCCCAAAGGCAGGCACCCAGCTCAGCGGGTTGGTCTGATGCTCAGTCATTCTTGTTGGCCTGGCTCCCAAAGCAGCAGGGGGGAACTGATGGATCTAAGTCCTTAGCAGGGGTGTCTCTGCTCCACTGGCTTGTACTGTAGGAGCTCTGGGCTCAGGGTTCACCAAGCATGCCTGGGACAGAAAGGTCACAAGGGAGACAAACAGCAGCCTCAAGAGCAAGCTCCAAATCACAGCCCAGCTGCTAAGAAGGAGCTCTGCTCCATGGGCCAGAACACAGAGGCTTCCAGCAGAACTTTAAAACTACCTGAGAAGAGCACTTCACTCCAGCAGTGAAGTGGTGAGCTGAAAGGACCAAGCTGAAGAAAAACTCTTCTCACAATGACTCAGCTCCTTGAACTTGCTGCCAGCTTCTCTCCCCTGAACTCGAGAACATGCAGCTTTCCACAGCTACTTCCCATGCCCATGCCACGGGAGTAGGGTCTCATCACTGGTTCCCACTGTCCTGGGTCACAAATCATAAATACAACTGTAAGGGCCAGCCAAATAGCTCAGTGGGTTGAAGTGCCTGCAAGTAGGCGCAGGGTCCTTGGGTTTGATCCCTGGGCCTGCTGTGCCCACCCCACCCCTGCTCCTGGGGCACACTGAGATGGGTGTGTTAGCTTGTGCCTATAATCCCAGCTCTTGGGAGGCTGTAAACATAAGGATCACTATGAGTCCAATCCAGTAGTGAGATCGTGAACACCCTGAAGAGCCTTCCCTAAAATTAAAAAAATAATAATAAAAAAATAAAACAGCAAAACCTTCTCCTCAGCTCCTGCTTTCCCTAATATGAAGGCTCTATGGATAATGAAGGCTTGTCACAGATTTAGAAGCAAATGGAAAGTCACTGCAATACAGGAATCGCCGCTGTAAATAGAATACCAGCTACCACACTCTCTGAATCCATCCATCAGCAGACACTCGCCAAGGAACTGCTTACCAGCATCTTCTCCCCTCATCTAGCCCACACCGTATTGCTGGCCACACCACTATGGACTGCTTCTCCCTGATCTGCACACAACTTGTGACTCAAGGCTACACCCCTCGGAGTTGCCAGGGGAATATCAAAATTCTTGGCACTTAATTATTACAAGTAGAAAAATGTACTAGAAATATTTATCTTATTTCCCTCCTAAGTATAGCTGAAACTATGAATATTATCTATAAACAATCATAAAAAGATACTGAAAGCTGGGAAGAACAAGGAAGACTAAGAAGCAACCTCAAGAGGAGATGGTAGTGAGTTTCATGGGGCTTATTTGGGTCTTGTATGTCTCAGACTGTGTTTTACAGGTAATTTTACATGTCAGGCGCACAAACAAGCAAAAGCCAAGAAATCAAGAAAAGTTCAAAGGAGATAACCAAGACAAAAAGTTCAGATAATACTTTCTCTTTAATAGCAAACGTCAGAGAATAACTGACTCCAACACCACCCAAGACAACAAAGGCCAAGTACAGGGCTCAGAATTCCACTACAGGAAGAGACATCATAAGCCCCTGAGTGGTAGTGACAGAGCCAGAGGAGCCAGGATGTTCATCCCTGATGAGAAGTAATAACAACCCTGCCTTTGTGGTTCAGTAGACACCTCCTGGAGGCCCTGAGCTTCCATCCTCACTAGAGAGTAATAAGATGTCATTCTTGCTTTGTGGTGGGGTAGAATCAAAAGAAGACTAGTGAAGAGGCAAGGCCTTCCACCACCCACAAGTAGCAAGGCCACCCCAACAGCTTCACTGGAGGCTACACAACTGCTGAGTCCCTGGCCTTCCAGCCAAGAGGAATCATTAGGGGTCTCGTGTCCATGGGATGCAAACAGGAGCCTAAACTTTCAAACTCTGCCCCCACTGTGGTGATGTCAGGAGAATTCAGTTTAAAAGATAAGTAAACAGGATCCTGAGTTCGTTCATGTAAACTCAAACTGTGTACACGTTGATGAAAAATTACTCTTTGTATTAAGAACAAAGAATATTATATATGGCATAAAACAGTAAACAGACATCTCCACTACCTGATACAGATGTTATAACTGTCTGATGTAGCTTTTAAAGCAACTATTCTAAAATGCTTCAATTAGGAATTGAGAACACATCTGAAACAACTAAAACGTAAAACAGACTTATAAGGGAAAAAAAGGTATAAAGAATAACCATTTGGAAATTTTAATGGTAAGAAAATGTTCAATGAGGAAGGGAACAAGGGATGGGAGGGAGATAGCAAGGAAGGGATAAGAAAAAAGAACAACAGAAAAAATGGGAACAAAGCTTTTGTAAATGAGGGGAAGAAGGGTTGAAGGGTGAGGA